TATCAGCACATTTCACATCTTTTTTCCAGATAGTTAATGCTTATCGGTAAAAAAATATTTTGGGACTTATTTATAAATTATGACAAAATAATGACTTTAATATGTCAAGTTCAACAATAAAATCGGTAAAGCGAGGAAAAATTATCAAATCATTATTTTTACCGATAATTTATGTTTTTTCGTAAAAAAATTTAGTTTAGGAGTTATTTGTAAGTTGGAGTAAAATAATGAAGTTTTATGGAGATTTCCCAAGAAGAAATTACAAACAAATAAACATAAAATTACAAGTTCTACTAAACTTGAAATTATGTCATCAATAAAAAATACATAGTTTACATGATATTAAACCTTGGATGTTTAAATATTTTTTCGATTATGATCAAACCGGTGGTACATATCATATCTACGAGTATAAAAAATTATGTATAAAAAATCATAAAATCGATTTCATATATAGTGTGAACGCATATTTATATAACATATAAATGAAATTTGTATGTTATTTTATGATTCCAAATAACAATTTAAAAAATCAATTTAAAATTAATATAACATTAATTTGACATTTATAAAACTTAAAAAATCAAAAATAAAATATTTTAAAGAATCAAAAATGAAATATTAGAAGTTTGACTTGTAAATTGTTATAAACTGCTGGTGGAATGGTGGGGGTACCATCCTATTTTTATAATATATTTTAGAACACAAGAACTTTTGAAAAATAACATTATTTATACAAAAGAAACTCTATTTTTATCTGTTAGTCTACAAGAGTAGTAAGATGCTTAACACAGGTTAATGGCAACTCCAATGGATTGTAAATTTGTGTTTTGGAGGCCTATATTCCTCGAATGGACTTTTAGATTTATCGACCTTTTTGTCTAATACTACAATAAGTCAACAAATTTGTGTGAAACTATTCATCACCACTAAATATTTATACATATTATAATATTATATATATTTATTTTTTTATCTTTTTTTTAATAATAATAAAACATTATTTTTATAATTATAATATTAAAATATATTTTTAGTGTTAACTTCTAATGTGATAGGAATTGAAAATGATTTTTATGAGAATTTTACACAAAAGTGATATGATTTATAATGTGAGCCTTGGAGTTGGTCTAAGAACATTGTCACATCATTTTTTGTATTTTCCACATAAGCTTTAGGTACATTTGGATTTTAGAAAGAAAATTAAAAAAAAATAGTCAAATGAAAAAGAACCAATCAAAAAACCAAATGCAAAAAGAAAAAAAAAAAAAAAAAAAAAAAAACAAAGAAAAGGACCAAAACCAAGTCTCTCTCTCTCTCTCTCCATTAAGATGGTAGCGACTGTTGCTTAGCACCTCCCTTATGCTAGGGGCGGTGTTTGTCTTGTCCTAACGAGGCTGACGAGTATTTTAGCGATCCCCACTCCCATCAACCTTAAGCTTAGTTTAACCTAATTAGTTTTCTTATTTATTTATTTATTTATTTTCTTTTTAAATCTATTGTCATTCCTAATAATGAAACCGTAACTATATTTTAGTTTCATAATTCAGTACACTACTAAAAACTTGACTTTCAGCTATGGATTTAGAGAGAGATTTATTCCATAGCAAAATTTTCGCCTATAGAGAGTGAATTACGAGAGATCTACGATGGTTTAGACAATTCTTTTATTTATTTAACATATAGCATATTAGAGTGGGTTTAGCGAGGGGATCTCACAAAGTATTTATCGACACCCTTATTCCTCGGTAATCGGTGGAAAATGAAGGGATTTGGTGAGGGTTCAACGAGGGAAAAAAATTTGTCTACTTTTTGCCATCTGGTTCCGGTTTAGCGAGAGAATGCCGACGGAGCATACACACGCTATGTTTTTTCAATTGACGATCTCTCGCTGAAATTGGCACAATCCAATTCCAGTTTCACGACGTTTGTGTAAGTTTCCTTCCCTCTTCCCTCCCAAATCTGCTTTATCACTCCAATTGAACACGCATACTCTCGAGTTGCAGCTTAACCTAATCTCACCCTCTCCGTTCAAACAGATGACGTCACTATGGACCATTGCAGCTTTCGATTCCTACAACTTCTACATTCTTAAAATCTGAAATTATTCTTCGTTAACTTCCAATTTAGGTACATCTCTTGATTTTTTTTTGATTTAGTCATATATTAGGTTAGGTTTGGTTCAGTTGCACAATATATTATGCTAGGGTTTAATTTCGCAATTGCTTAGGCTTATATCGATTGCATCTATATTAGAATTGATACTTAGAATTAGAACTTAATTTGGGGCTTGATTGGTTGCTTTAGTCATATATAATCCTGGCGGCATAAGTTTTGTGAATCAAAGCTTCAACCTGAAGCTCTCCTATCATCTTTGTCATCTCTGTACATGCATCCAGAGGCTCTGCGACTTGGAGGATGAACTGCTTCATCAAAAAAGTAAGTTATCAATATAGTAAGTTATCAACTTGGAGGAGACAATCTTATGCCATTGTTCAAGAAGCTCTTCTGATGTAATGGTCACTACTAGTTCAATTAGCATCTCAAGCAATATGGAGGCGACACATTCTGATATGCAAGGGTTGTTTATCAACTAATGTTCTACTTGTGTTTTCTTATACACATTTACATACTACACCTTCATCCAAACCATATGACTGTTTCACAATATGCATCTTGCTAGTAACTCGATAGATGCCCCTAAAAATACACATACACATAATATAGCAAACAACACTCCAAGAACAGAAAAAAATATAAAATACCCTTTAGTCTCGATGACCTTTTTACCCTTCTGGTCACATAAGTAACATCACCATCAGCATTGCTGATTCTACAAAACCTAGGAATAAGATCAAACGCCCATAAAGCAAAAGAAAACCAGGAATCCGTCCCACCATCATCTTCTCCGGTTTTCCAATTCTGATTCACATCGGAATCGGGTATTCCAGACTTGTTACAAACAAACAAACGATAAACAGAACTTGCATATCAGCTAACAATTTACATTATACTAATACCATACTGATGGCAATGAACTGTTGAATGTTTGGCTCAAACTCTCCCCTGTTCACAGTTGGGCTCAAGAGTTCTCACCATTTTCCATCTGATTAAGAGCCCCAAAATGTTAGCCAAATGTAAAACACTGTACACTAAGAAAGGCTAAAATCTTAACTTATTTACATTTCAATGTCAAACAATGTCAATGATTGATAAACAACCCTTGCATACCAGAATATTTTGCTTCTTTTTTTATGTTTTATGTGCCTTACATTATTTTGTTTCTTCATATTTATTAAATAGTAGGTGGGAGTGAAGAAGTTCCAGACCTACTTTACCCAGAGCTCAAGTGAGAAGCAACTGTTCTGTTCTCCTCTATTTCTTCTTTTTGCATTAGGTGTGATTGTTTTTTATCCTCTTACGCGTCCCTTCTTCACATTCTACACTTAATTTTTATAATAGTTTGGTCAAATATTTATTTGGTTTTAGATTTGTTGTATATTTTAGTTGTTTGATTGGTTTATAAGTTTCTGCATGCTTATTCTATATAATTTATCTATGCTCTTGTAAAAATACAGGAAAAAGATGTTTTAGTTTGCTACATGACAAGAATTTAAAAGTTTGCTTAGTCTTCTGCTTTTGTAATTTTCTAAAACATATAAGTTACCAAAGTAACAATATCAACTAACTCTAAGTTTAGTTTAAAATTTTAAAAGTTTACTACAGGACAAGAATTTAAAAGTTTGCAAGGCTCTTACCTCTTAGTCTAGTTCCTGTAGGCTTTCGTTACAGAATAAAAAAAGAACAAAAAAATGATACTAAAAATCATTTCTAATTAAGCATAATTTAACTAAAACTCCAGTGACATTAAGTCGACAATTCTTGTTTTCAACACTTAAGTCCTTAATTCAAACATGTTTTTCATTTTCTGGTAATAAAATTAAATTTTCAACTTTTTTTTTTCATAATCCCTAGCTCAAAAATGTTTTTCGTTATTTATATCTTATTATATTGACTAAAAATTGCACATTTTGCACGTCTTACGTAACCATAAAAATGTTCATTGAATGTATAAGAATAGACATTTAATAACATAAAAATATACTAATTGTAGTATAATTTTAAAGTCAACTCACACACGATATAAATAATACATAGTGACATAATCAGACAAAGTTTTGAGTTGCAATTTATAGTAAAAAAAAGAAATACAAAAATTTAAAAATAAAAAAGATGAAAATACCCTCTCCTTAACTGAGACTCATAGAACAAAAGTTGCCACCTTTTGTCCCACTCACAAAGATGTTAATAGGACAAAATTGTAAAAAACTCCAACCAGGGGCAAAAAAGGAATAAAAAAGTTACCTTTATAAGTAAAGAAGGTATAGATGAATCTAATAAAGATAAATCATCTGGACTGAGATAAAGTGAGCAATTTGGATAAAGAAGCTGCAATAATGGCCTCTTTCTATTATGAAATCTAATTATTTTTAATATTAATAAGTTGTTGTTTGTTAATATAAAAAATAATATCATGGGACATGAAATAAAAACCTGTAATTCAAAGAATTATGATCTGTAATTCAAAGAATTTTAATATTTTTCATTCTGATCAAAATTGAAATGCATTTGATGTTATTTTGTTTGCCCTGGTTTGCTTTTCTCTTTTTTGACTGTTTTACCCCTGGACATCAATGCTTAGATCATAAGCCAATCGTATCCTGCACAAATGACAATCAACAAATTAAAAAACATTTCAAGTGACTTTTTCAAAACAACCTTTTTCACAATGTTTGACTTTTTCAAAACAGTTTTTTTACTGTGTTTGACTTTTTCAGAACATCTTTTAACATTTCAAGTGACTTTTTCAAAACATTTCAAGTGACTTTTTTAGAACATCTTTTAACACTTCAAGTGACACCAATGCATGGATCTTTGCTCTGTTTTGGTAACATGATTTCAGAAAGATTCACATAGTTCTTTTTTTAATATATTTTCCATTTTTTTACACAATCATCTTACCGGGGGTTCTATATCTATTCGTCAACATAAGAAAAGAATGGTAAGATGTTTTCATTCACACCTTAGTTTCCACTTAGACTATTGAGTTTTTGTTTTGTTTTTTAATGTATTACTAATGGATTTTGTAGCAAGCAACACTTAAACGCCCTCCTACAGGAGTTAAACTTTATGCAAGGTTGCACACTAAACGGTCGGCTCAAGAGTACATTACACCAAAGGTAGCTAAAGTTAAGGTATTTCAATCCTTTTGTTAATGACTTTGTTATCTCTAAATGTTTGATCCTCTGCCTAGTTGTAATTAAGTGTTTTAAAAGTCGTAATCAACTTTATGTAAGGTTTGAGTATTAATCAATAGGAGGCTTATGAAGTGGTTCATTCCATTCCTTGATTATGAATTTAATGGAATGGAATGAACCATTCCATTCCTTATTTCATGTTTCTGTTTTTTCATTTTTTTTTGCTATAATAGGAGGCTTATGAAAGTGCTATGGTGGCTAAGTTTGAGTATTAATTCTTGGATAATGAAACATGGTGTGATGTTTCCAGAGGAGTCAAGAAAGGAAGAATATATGGATTCAGATCTGTGTCTGATCCAACGAGCTTTTTGGAAGGAACATCTAGTAGAATAACATCCCAAGAGGTTCGTTTAATTTTGTACTTTATAAATATTTCCTATCATAGCATTATACTTACAAAGTTTCCTATCATGGTGTTGTACTTACAAAGTTTCCTATCATAGCATTGTACTTACAAAGTCTCATATCATGGTATTGTACCTTAGGTTGTCTATGAATGTGTACGAAACGAGATGTGTGGGGAAATGGATGCTAAAGCTGCAGAAATGGAAGCTAAACATCAACAAATGCGTGAGGAAATGGATGCCAAAGCTGCAGCAATAGATGCCAAACAACAACAAATTGATGCAAAATATGAAGCAATGGAGAAGATGTATGCAGCCTTGCAAAATATGATGAGAAATTGAAAATTAGAGGTAATGATGTTAACCATTAGTATTTGATGTTTTTGAATGACTTGTTAACCTTTTGTATTTGATACTTTTGATTGTTTTGAATAATGTTTTATAGGAATGTGAACCGAAGATGATTGGATGGACATGAAATGAAGAGAGCAACTAAAATGTTATTTTGAAATTATGTTTTGTGAAAACTCATTTCCCGATGCATACTTTCGATTTCTTTGTGCTAAAATGTTATTTTGAAGTTAAACCTTTGGGAGTTTGATGTTATATGGATAGTTTTGGTTTTGGATGTTTTTTGAATGATACTTTGGTAAACTTTGATAATTTTGGTATTATAATGTTTGGTTGTATTGTTATTTGATGTTTTTTAGTATAAAAAATTGATGATTGTAGTATTTTTTTTCTTTTAGAATCATAATAAAATAATGATATTACAAGTTTGCGACGGATTGGTGAGAATAAAAAAAGTATTTTAATGCATCAATTTTGCGAGGGATTAACTACGGAAAAAATATCATGTCTAAAGTTTGCGACGGATCAGCGACGGAACAAAAAAAAAATTAATATATAAATTTTGCAAGGGATTAGCTATGGAAAAAAACCATGCCTAAAGTTTGAGACAGATCAGTGACGAAAAAAATCAGTATATGAATTTTGCAAGGGATTTGCTACGAAAAAAAAAACTGATCACAGAAATTTGCGACAGAACAGCGACGGAATGACTTTATCAAATTTTGTCGCTAATGCCCTGAGTAAATGTGTTGAGTGACATTTAGCGACGGATATTCTGTCGCTACATTTGTCGCAAGGAAAACCCTCTCCGTCGCTAAAACCCTCGCTGAGAAATTAGCCACCTATTAATTACCTATGGAGTGAGTCCGTCGCTGATCCATCGCAGACGAGATTTAGCGACGGAATAGCGACGGATACTTCCGTCTCTAAAACCCATGTTTCTAGTAGTGGTAGTTGACTATGATCGAGTTTAATCTATTAAAATGTTAAATATCCATTGCACTAATTAAATTCTTTCGTTAAGTTTCATGCATTGTCCATTCCACCTAATTAAACTCTTCCATTATAAAGACCAAAAATGGAATGAAGAAATTTCTACAGAGTTGCAAACCCATATTACAAAGTAAAGCCCAAAATGGAATGAAGAAAGGATTCATAGAGTTGCAAAGCCTAATTACAAAAAAATAATTAAAAAAAAAAAATCACATATGGTTGGTTATAGAAAAGGTATGGAAATGTAAAGGCAAATTAAACGTCTAGAAATCCTGTTTCACTACATGCAATTCTCCTTGAAAGAAAACGAAAATACAACAAAGTGCACACACAAATAGTCATATACTGACGTTCAAACTGAACTACTTATTGTGTATCATCAACAAAGGATGCTGATGAGGAGGCTGAAGATGAACCGGTGTGCTTGGATGATTTGACCTCGTCACTTGAACTTGAACACATGGTATAGTCTCTTCCAGAACCTGTGAGATCAGCCAATGGCGAAGACCAAAACGCAGACATTGTGATAGGTGTGGCAGAGAAAGTAGGGGTTGGTACTGTTTTCGGAAGGTTCGGAAGTGGTGCTTCAGAGTTAAGAACTTGAATTGCTTGCTTTATAGTAGGCCGGACCTTCGGATCAGGGTGAGCACACCAAAGTCCGACAGTGATCAAACATTCCATTTCTCCCTCATCAAAATCGGATTCAAGTTTCGGATCAGCTACTTGACTAAGCATTCCTCTTCCATAGAGGTCCCAAACGAAGTCAACCAGTCTTCTATGACAATCTTTTGCCATCGGATCAATGGGTTTCTTACCACTTGCTAGCTCAAGAGCTACAACTCCATAGCTATAGACGTCTGATTCCTTGCCAGCTCTGCCCGTTAGGACACATTCGGGAGCCATGTAGCCCATCGTACCTGCCAATATTGTCGTTTGACACCCTATTTCATGGTCAACGAGCCTAGCTAAACCAAAATCTCCAAGCTTAGCGTTGAAATTGGAGTCGAGCATAATGTTGCTTGTTTTGATATCTCTATGCAAAACACACTGTTCCCATTCCTCTTGGAGATAAAGCAATGCTGAGGCTAAACCTCGAGCAACATTATACCTCATTGCCCAAGTCAACAAGAAACTTCCCTTGAAGAGATGAGAATCCAAGCTACCATTTGACATGAACTCATAAACAAGTAGGAGTTCTTTGCCTTCATGGCACCAACCAACGAGTTGCACCAAGTTCTTGTGTCTTAGTTGGCTAATAGTTCTCACTTCAGCTGCATACTCCTTTATGCCTTGTTTGGATCCACTTGATATCTTCTTAACAGCTACATATGAATTCGTTTCCCTCATGAAACCTTTATAAACCCCACCAAAACCCCCTTGTCCTATCTTCTCTCCCTCTGAAAAGTTCTTTGTTGCAAGGGCCAGTTGTTTGTATGAGAATTTTTTTGGCCCAGTTTCGATCTCATAGTCTTGTGTAGCACCAAACACGTCTTCTTCATCTCTCTTTTGGAATATAATCCTTCTCTTCTTCAAACAACCAAACATGAAAAACCCACTAATTAAAGCACATAGACCTAAACCAACACCAATACCCAACACTACTTTAAATTGTCTTTGTGACTGATGGATTACTGGTTGCAAAAGCGTCGCTACTGATGGACTGGGTGCAGAACTATTTAAACTAATCTCTGAACCAATCGGACCAATGATCTCATCATGGGTAGGTAAGCTTGAATTAAAATCCCATGAATGAATAGTGTGAATCTCAAAGTAATCACCAGTTGAAGCTGAAAAACCGATACTTACATATTCTGGTAGATACTCTTTCAGATCAACTAGTTGGCTAAGTCTCTGTGTGAAAACTCCAGTTTGATCAAAACCTGTAAACGCAACACTTAGCCTTTTTGCACTCGAGTTGTAGCTTACCCTTGCTACGTTTCTTTGCCCATTAGCAACAAGATTTGACCATGTCACATTTTTAACCGATACCATGGAATTGATATTGATACCTACATGATCACCAGGTGGGTCCCAATCATTTCTATAAGTATCAAATTCAACTGCTATGAAAGGATTCAATGTGGAGTTGAGCACCTGATCAGCACCTACAAGACCAATACCGCTACCTTCTTGTTTAGGAGGAAGTTCAAATCCATCAGGAGCAAGAAAGAATGCTATTCCATCACCATAAACAGATTGATCTCCAGAATTTATGGTGAATGAAAATCGGGTTGTGAAGTCAGCTAGCTCTCCTGAATCTTTGTCCCAAAGGCGAAACAGTTTCTGATAAGTGACTCTACCAGTACTCCAATGCATTTCTTTATCCTGCTGATTTCGGGTTAGCTGAATGACTGGATTAGAAGGTGCAGCATCTCCATAGTAACTTAATTCATGGTTGTTAGGGTTGAAACTAGTGAAGTTAAAGGTTAGGTTAGCTGAAGAGGGAAGTAGTACAAGAAGTAAACTTAAGATTATTATCATGGGAAAACACTGATGATTGAAGTTAGCGTTCGTAGAGATGCAGGCTTGCGTTTCTGCTGTATTGGAACTATGAATCTTACATTTGGCATCAAAGAGGTTACATAATTTCAGTACAATTGCTGTATATACTATATTATATGGATGAACCATAATGCAGACAATGACAATGTGATAAGGTAGTTTTATATTTGGCCTGCAGATTTAACATACCCGGCTGACTCATGGTAAAAGGCAAAATAGTCTGTCCATGCCAGTAGCGTTGAATCCATCATCATGCCAAAACGGTTAGTTGTGATACCTTAGAAACTCTAGTTATTCAACGCTAATTGTTGAAATTACCGAAAGAAATGAAATAAAGTAGACAACTCACTTGGAAGAAGGAACCATAGTGTAGTTGTAATGTAATGACAACATAGCTTAATCATACACGTATTTTGACGAAGTTAAATTCTATTTAAAGTCAGAGGTATTGTGCAGATCCGCACATAGTAATTATCATGAGTACGATTTTAAAATATAAATTCAAATGGAGGAATACAATAGATTTCACTTCTAAACTTCTACGACACGGAATTAGAATTGTTACCACTAACCGAAACTCTACATATTCGATAAATACTATGCAAACAAAATCTCATAAATGGTCTTTACGGTTTCTTGAAATTTGGAATATAGTTCCTAATATACTGCCGAGCTCTAACTGCAGAACAAAACCCTGAATCCATCCTGGTGCCCTCTCAATAGATAACCAGTTCTCCCCCACTTGGGGTTCAAACGACCACGTGCTGGCCCTCACAACCAATCATAGCACCGAAACCGTTCAACCATTCCATACCACAAGCACGCAAACATCCCCCATTGGGATAGGGATCAAATCGATCAGATAAGGCACCCCGAAGATCTCCAAAATACAACCTTGATATACTGAAGATGCAGAAACACCATGTTCGTTGGCGATAGAAACTCGCAACGAAAACTCTAACTCCCCAATTAGCATATCAAACTCTCTACTGAACAGTCGAGACACAAATGACCGATTCGCACCCAAGTTAAAGAATACTAGAGCAGGTAACGAGTTCACTAGGAACATACCTAAAGAGGCACATAGATAAGCATAACATAAAACATAATTAACAGAATAACATATAGAAAGATAACAGTCACAACATATGGAGCTGCTCTGGCCTCCTCGGCAGTGAGCTGGAAAGTGCGACCTCGATCTCTTGGGGGCTCCACCCTACCCTGACACCCATCAATGATAATCAAAGGAGTCAACGTTGGATCCTACACTGACCTAGAAACAAGCGATGGACAGTTGGCCTTGACATGTCCAACCTGGTCGCAATGATAACAAATCCAAGAACTGAGTGATGGGGCATGTTGGCAGAAATCCCTCGACATATGGCCCTGCCGGCCACAATTGTGGCACCCAGAAGATGATCGACAAGCATCCTCACGCACATTCCCGCACTTCCCACAAGTGCAGCCCTTCTGGCCTTCAGATCAGACATCAGGGGTCTTAAATGGCTTTGGTGTAGGTTGCGACTGTGTCGTGGTCGGTCTCTGCTTCCTCGTTTGTAAATTAGTCTCAATCTCATGCCGCCCGGCGGCCTCCTACATCTCCAATAAAGAACCATAGCGCTGGGTGGAAACGAACTGTCTGATCTCTGTCTTAAGCATGCCTAAGTAATAGGTCATCTAAGCTTGATCAGATGTAGCAAACTCAGGACAAAGCACTTTATGAACATCTTGGTGATCTCCGTCACCGTATCTGTCCCCTGTCTCAAATCCAAGTACTCCTAGGCCAAACTCTCATGCTCTACCAACAACACATATCAAGAGTGGAACATTTCCGAGATCTGATCCCAAGACAGAGCGACTCTCTTCTCATCAGAAAATGAACTAGTAGCAAGCCTCCACCAATCCTTCGCTTCGGTCCGTAGAAGGTTCAGAGTGCACCTAACCTTCTAGTCAGCTGGGCAAGAATAGGTTAATAAACATCCACCCACATCAAATAGCCACCTCATGGCTATGATCGGGTCCTACACCCCATCGAAAGTTAGGGGCTTCATATTCTTGAAGTCCAGATACTGAGAAACCCGACCCGATCCAACCCATGTAGCGGCAATGGCTGCGGTGGCTACAACAACAACAGTCTTAGAAAAAGCAGCATAGTGGTCATCAAAGTATTCAATCATGGAGATCCTAATAGACCCAAACATCTCTGGCAACTAAGCTTGGAAATAAGTAACAACCTCCTCCTGCAGGATCTCCCTGATCCTATCATCCAACGCAACTGACCCACTATGGCTGACAACTCCTTATCCCGAACCAGACCTAGCCTCAAATCGTCGCGTAGTCACAATACTAAAAATAAACCAGGAGGATATCACATAATACACATATAAAATGAGGGGAACCAACTCCCAATAAAGCCCTAAGGGTTGTGACTTCTTTGTTATACGTACGGGTCGTATGTTTTTAGTAGTACGTGCCCATACTACCTTCCACCCTTCCAAACATGCTCGTATTTGTCTCAAATGATCATCATAACACCCTAACAATACATACTAGCATAATCAAACACTCAATCCCGCTCCATAGAGGAAAGGCTAAACATCTCGAAACTGGTCGGCTGACCCCACACAATTTATCCATGAAACTTCCACCAACCCTGCAACACTCATGTATGATAGTCATACATAACACTAGCCCCTATAGACAGTCGAATATCTGATCCTACCCTAAGCCCTTCATCAAACAAGAACAAGAAATAATGCCAATCCAAACATTCTCAGCTATAAAATCTTAGTTATGCATAACCATGACATATACACTAAGCAACTACAATAATGATGTAAATTCCTTTAGAGAAGAGCCACAGGCTATCATGCATCATATAATTAAGCAATTCTATCATGCAAAATCTTGAGGATTCCCAGCCTATTACTAGCATGTTATTCAAACATATCACAATATCAAATAACAATATGGTATTTTGGGGAATACTTATTGGCTCCGACTGATCGTACATATTGCATCCTCCTTGATTATTTGAAAACCATTTGAAAAAAAATCATTTTAGAAATCTTTTTCCTTAGTTTGTGAATGGATTCACACAAGTGTTTCTCTAATTCTCTCAAACCAAGGCTTTGATACCAACTTGTAACATTCATAAAATTCTTGAAAACTTTGAGCTTTTAAAACAACCCATAAACCATCATTGTTTACAAAATAGTTTTCTAAAACATGTCTAATATCAGAGTTTTCTCAAAATCACAAAACCAAATAGAAGGAGGTGCACGATGAAGCCTTCGCCTTTCTACGATCATGTGAGGTACCTGAAACATAATCCAAAAGTGTAAGCCCAAAGCTTAGTGAGTTCCCTCAAAATACCAATACACAAACAAATAACACATATATAATAACAGCATGTATTGGGTCCATAACTAATTTACATGATTATCCTTGAGCCCACAACATAAGTTTGGCTTGCCCTTGGCCCATAGCTTATGTTTGGCTTGCTCACTGAGCCCACAACATAACTTTGGCTTGCCCATGGGGCCTGAAACTTATATTTGGCTTGCTCCCCAACCTAATCGGTCCTTGGAATAAATACCACTAAGCCCTCAGTACAAGTCTGGCATACCCTTCATGACCCTCAACTCATATTTGGAATGCTCATGAGCCCTCAATATAAGTCTAGCATGCCCTCCCTGACCCTCAGCTCATATCTGGCTAGCTCAAGGGTTTGTTGGCTACAACACGGAGCAATACCATGTCAACGTAACCCACACAATATGTCGAAATAGAAGAGATAATATCATACACAAATAAATAGACAGTATCACAGGTAGTCCTATAGATCTACCAGACCAACATATCAAAACTAGCATGCATATCTGATCCTTACTCAACATATCAATGAGTATTAGATTATCAAACCCATGGGCCTACCTTGGTGCCTTCGACCAGTAAGTACAGTGAGGAACACTTACTTCACAAGCTGAATAGAACTGATAAGGCCCGACTCTGAATTTCAGCTCTATACTCAATGCCTAACTCTACCAGGTGATCAATTCAATCAAAATCCCAAAATACCCTCAAAGTCAAAGTTTGTCAAACTGTTGGATTAGGTGTTTAAGTTTATAACTATTTCTGGACTGTACTTGATCCGGTTGGCATGGTCCATTTGGGTTGCATGGCATTGCAACACTTGGATAGACTAAATGAGAGAAATAAAACTTAAGGTTTATTAATATATTATAAGTTCTAATATATTAATAATATTATTTAATTAGTATTGATCAAGAATTAATTAAGTGATCAAGAGGATACTAATTAAATATATGGGGTTGATTGTGTAAATCATCTATTCTTGTATAATTGGGCTAATGATCCATGGTTTGTATGGATTGGGTTAAAACCCATAAGGTGCTCCATGGATAGTCCATGGAGGTTACAAACCCATGGATCATGGAATATGAAAAGCCATGACAATTAGGGTTTACATGGCGTAACCCTACTTGTGACACAACCATATAAAGACCCCATGTTAACCAAAATCGGCCACTACAAGCAAGTAAAGAGGGCTAGACGAATTTTGTGAGTAAGTGAACTTCTCTCAAAGTTATTCTAAGTGTTGTGGTTTTGTGTGAGACATTTGAAGCATCACACTTGAGGTGATAGGCTCACAAGGTCTTCAAGGAATCCAAGCAACTAAAAGGTATGTTCTTCTACTAGCATTTATGTTTTAAAGTTCCCCATGCCATGCTAGTTAAGTTAAGAAACTTGGAAAATCAAATTTGCATGTATCTTAGTAAAACATAGATCCAAGGTTGCTAGGGTTGCATGTACACCTTAGGAGTGTTAGAAAGCTCAAACCCTTCACAAAAGTGGTCAAACTCAAAACCAACTGGTCAAAACCAATAAACCCACTAAGTCAACCTAGTCAAGTTAACTCAACATGGGCTGACCCATGCAAGTATGCAGGGTGTACT